GGTCTCATGTAGTGTAAATATTTATAGTTATTGTTGATGATAAATCTTACACTAATTGTATACGTGAGAAAAATCTCAGTAAGAAATTGTTTTGATAAGCTGTCTAGAGTACTATCCCTACCTTGTGCTTTTGCGACAATGTAAAATGCTGCCAATGTTGCTAGTTGTAAGAGGGCTGAATCTGGTGGAAACACATCATATCTAAGTCTTACTTTTATTGTATATAGTATATCATGTGTGAGTGGATGTATGTACGAATGCATATATGTACCTATGTGAATGTGAGCAGTATGTCGACAAAAACATCTCCGCGAGGGCGTTCCCCTAGAGCACGATCGTCCGTCGTGGTGGGTATCACAAAAATCGTTCCGGATTATTTATATCCTAACAAAATGAGCAAGCGTCAAAACGAAGCCATTCAGATTATCTCAGGCTGGGTGATAAGAAGAGTGGAGCCAGCGAAAGGCTTGAAGAGAGAAAAGCGGTGGAGAAGACAAGGAGGGATGGAAAGATGGGGAGAGGGGAGGGGGCGAAGGGGGGCAGTTGGAAACCAATGGGCAGTAACATGTGGACATTGCTCATAGCGGGACGACCTACAGTGTTTGTCGCGATACCCACTGGCTTTTATTGCATTGTGCGAAATGTTTGCGGTATTGCAAATCTTGTCCGCCGCGAAGGCGAGCACATATCACATTAAGTTCTATGGCTGTACTGACTAGGGCCAGAAGTGGACCCTGCGTAGGACGTTTTGCCGCTACATATCGTTCTGTCGTATGTGTGTATAAGCGTGTATGTTTGTATTTGTGTGTCTGTGTGCGCTGGAAGGTTTTACCTCAAAACACTATATTGGCAAACATATCATTTGCGTGGCCTCACCACTTGACATTTGTCTTTGTTCATTTCCTTTCGTCCCCTAATGCCCATGAGCGGAGCTTATCTTGCCGTTTCCTCCTCTTCTTTTGTCCCCAAGACCCTGTCGACTGTAAATTGTATAAAATATATCATACGTACCATGTCATAGCTCTAATATGGTGTTCATCTGTATTAAAAAGAACAAACGAACAAATAAAAAATGTGATAATAAAAAACATATCTGCGCCTCTACCCTTCTTTAGTCCGTCTCGCCAGGCGGCGGTCGCTCTTCAGCCACAAAAGCGCCGTGGCAGAAGGCAACCCAACCAACAGCTGGTGCCCGATGGGTGGCCTACATCCCGGCGGTGGGATCGATCCCATGCACCCGGGGAAGAGGTTGGAGGGGGGGGGGGGCATGCAACATTACGTAAAGACGGCGACATGATGACCTCCCCTTGCCGTCTTGTCGCCATGTCTAGGCGACGCCGGGGCCGACACGTCGTGCACACCTCGCCTCGCCCAGGTGCTGCGCAAAAGGTGCCGCCGACCGGGCGACCGGACCTCGCGGGTTGAGTTCAGAGGGACGTTACCACTACCAGGTCGACGACGGCATTATTGCATTTCCTCCGTCTCTTCTCCCCGGTGCTACGGACGAGGCGTCGTCACATCTGGGTCTGACCTGCCGGCCTCAATTACGACGGTCATTGGTGTCCCCCGCGCAGTTACGGCGGTCCTGGTGTTCTGCTCGCTCCCCCGCGCGGGGCCGGGCCTAAAGGCCGGGCCGCGGCCGCGGAGGCGAGGGGCGTCGATAAATTCCAGCCTACACAGCTCCGTGCGGGGCACCCGGCCCCCGGCCCCGGCGGGGCACTTGCACACGCGCAATGAATGAGCGGCGCGGATGTGTGCGCGCGTGTGCGTGTGTGTGCACGAGTGTGCGCGCGTGTGTGCGTGCGTGTGAGCGCAGCACTGGGGCGGCGCATGCCTGGGCGTTCTCTCCAGTCTCGAGCGCGGCGGCGGCCTGGCGATGTCCTCCTGGAGTCCCTGGGGCTGCTCCTGCAGCTGGACCGGTTCTGCCTGCTCGGCGCGTGCCGTCACACATACACGGACGCGAGGCGACAAGGCGTGAACACGGCGTCTTCGCTGGCGGCGGCTCCGCGTCGACGTCGTCGTCGTCATGAACTTCCTGCAGAGCATCTTCAGGCGGAGGGAGGCCGCCGCCGGAGCTGCGGCTGGGGCAGCCGTCGACGCGCAAGGTAAGGGCGAGGAGAGGGAAAGCACTCCGGAGAAAAGTGTACGACCCAGTGAGAAACAGTTACATCGAAATGATGTCAGACTGATATCGTTGTCGGTAAATTGTCGATTATCGTGTCGAATCGATCCTGAGATGGTCTTAAAATCGAGACATTTCCGACAGCTGACATCTCTTTGATGTCGATTCGATGTCACATCGATTTTGATTTCTCACTGGGGAGTTAGTACACGTTAGTTCATCTAGTTTTTGGCGTCATGTTTCATAATTTGTGCAAAATTTTGTTTTAATAGCACCATTATTACGCTTGATTTCTACCATTAGTTCGCGTTATTACGCAGCCTCGCGCACACCATGGCGGGATGACTTTCTTTTTGTAGAGGCAAGCCCAAAACGATACTTTAAAAAAAACACACAAAAAACATTAAATTTATAAAATGTTGTAAAACCATGAATGTCGGTAGGTTTGGGGAGAGGGGGCAAGGGGTATTGATTGCAGTGCTCCTGCTAGGCAGCCTGATGGTGATGCTGTGCATGTGCTACTCTGGTAAAGCAAGATAAGGTCTGATCTCTTAAAGTCCGTTCTGGCCACTATGTGGAAATGCGGAAATCTTAACGGAAGTTCCTGAGGAGTTTTCCTTATCTTAAAACGGAAAACCCTTATCTTCTCAGATTCCCTTTTTATTTTTACTCTGCCACCGAAAGTGACCGAAAGCCTCCAAAAATCAGACCTTGTTTCCAGCTCAGAAGACTCAGAAAGTAGATGCTCGTGCGACATTTCACGTGAACGGCGTTGCTTTCTGAGGTACGTATACGTATACGTACCCTCGCTTCAGTTTGTAATTTTACGACGGCGGTGACTTATTCGAATCGTTTGCCTCGCCGCGCCCGCCCACCTATTCCTGCCGCACTGTTTGCAGAACAGCTCATCAGTGACTGGGTGAGAGCGCGCTCGCTCGGTCCGCCCTTTCTCTCCATCTCTCTCTCTCTCCTCCGCTCTCTGTCCCGCGGCGAGGTTGGGCGGAAGAGAGGCACACCGAGAGACAGGGGGAGAGAGAGACAAAAGTGGTAATCCCATCCCACATATGCGCGGGCTCGGTCTCGCCGGGCGTAACCCACCACTATCAGATACCATTATCAGCGTTCTTTGGTGCTGAGACTGCGGCAATGTCGTGCGGGCGGGTCAGCGCGGCCGCTGGGCCGCGCCGCGGACGGGCCGGCCGGCCGGACGCAACACTGTCGGCGTGGTGCCGCGTCCCAGTGCGAGCTCAGCCTGCCGACCTGCGACACGTCCAGGAGGTGGGTGTCGTGTGGTGTTGACCAGGTTCACCAGAGTGGGGGGCCAGCGACTCGTCGATACCCCGCCGTCCGTCCCACAACGGCGACACTCCGCGCGCCCAGGGACTCTTTCCCGATCGCTGAGAGGCGTTATCGATCGCGACCCTGCTTACAGGCACCGGCGCCGAGATGGAGCCACCGCAGGGGGAGGGTGCGACGTCGCCAGCCACCCCTCCGCAGCAGTCCCGAGATGCACCGCGGCGGCCTGCAGACGACAACAACAGCAGCTGTCAGGAGGGACATGACGACGACCAGGGTGCGCCCTGTGGCGAGGACGCCCAGGACGCCCTGAGGACAGGTCCCGGACCTCCTTCACGCGACAATGTAAGCCCGGCCGCCGACGCACACGACGACCCGTCGCCTCGGACCTTCAGCGAGGTGGTCCGGGCGTCGCCGTCCCACGGCCGTCGTCCTGGAGAGGTTACGTCGCCTGGTGGCGCCGAGGAGGGAGACCATGCGGACCAGGATAAGGACGACGCTGGCCGGCTGGCCCAGTGCCTCCGCGGCGCCCTGCTCCGTCACGACCACCGGGACGCCAACGTTGAGGTGATTCTGGTGGAGCAGCCCCAGAGTGCAGACGAACCCTTTGGAGGTTATGTTGTGGGGAGAGAAGAGGAGGGGGCCACTTTGAAGGCCCCGCCCAGGATCCTCGTGTTCGACGAAGACAACAAGTGCCAAAACGCAAGTAGCGCCAGCTCGACGTCGTTGGAGTCGGCGGTCAGTGACTTACCGGGGCTGTCAGACGTAGAGCCCGCCCACGACCACCTCCAGGATGCAGTGTTGGTCGTTGGCGATCGGGACCGCCACTTCCTCAGGCCCCTGAAGAGAATCGTTCGCATTTACCTCCGACGCCGTGTCGCCCCGAGCGAGAGGATGGGGAACTTACAGGTATGTCTCAGCACCATCCCTCGTCACAATAGGGTTGTCGATGTCGAAAACAGAGATAATCAATCGAAATCAATTTGATTCCATGTTTTTCTTGTTTTGCAGTCGGTAAAACCACTCTTACTGACTTTCATCCCCTCAGTCCCTTCTCTTTACTTGTAATCAGGTAGTGACCAACCCTGAAATGTTCACAGGGCTCCGACGGCAAGTCTGGACGCTCCGGCGCGTCGGGCGGCAAGAGCCCCGGCAAGCAGCGCAAGGGGCTGGCCAAAAAGTCGCCCTTCCGGCCGGGCAAGGGCCCCGCGCCGGCGCCCCCGCCCACGCGGCCCCCCCGCGGCCAGGCCCTGGAGCCGGACGACGACGAGGACTCGGCGCCGCTGCCCGGCCGAGCCGGTGGGAGCGGCGCGGCGCACAGCGGCACCGCGGCGGCCGCGGCGGCAGCGGCGGCGCACGGGCCAGTGACTGCCGGACACTCGGCAGGTACCGACGTCTGCTCCGCTGGCTCGGGCTCGGCCGACTCGGGCGAGACGCAAAGGTGAGTGAACGTGAACGGGGCGGTGTTCCACGGCGTCCTGGGGCTGGGCGAGTGGCCCACAGCACGTAGGCGGCCGAGTGATCAGGTGGTGGCCAGGGCGCGGTGTGGGCGTCGCTGTGTGCGAGTCGGTGCCGCAGTGCGGGCCATCTGTCATGTCCTGCAGGAGGTGAAGGCTGCCGTCACGCAGGGGGGCGTAACGCGTGCAGTGGTGCGTGGGGGACGACGGGGAGGGCTCGGCCTCAGCCGAGGGATGGTGGAGGACGTGCTGCGGGGCTGGCCGCCCTTCGATTGTGCAGGAGAGAGATGTGGAACAGCGGCGCTGTTGAGGTTAGTCGGCCGGCCCGGCCTGCGGCTGGAGCGGCTGGAGCGGCTGGAGTGTGGGAGAGGAGGAGAGGATGCACGGCGAGGGGCGGGGCGGGCGGGCGAGCGGGGGAGAGGTTGTCGGCCGGGCCCGCAGGCTACCGCAGCCCAGCACACCGGACGGGGCCGGCTGGGCTCGGCTGGGCCCGCTGGAGGGCCGGGACCAGCCTGGATAGTGCTGGAGGCTCTCCGGGCCTATCTCACTCTCCAGCGGCGGATTACAAAGGAGCCTCGTGCCCATGCTGATTCGGCGTGTTCCCCCGCCCCGCCACGATTGAGATTGTCTATCAGTTCGGCAGCTGCCGGGGATCTACTGGGACCTGCTCTCAGCGGGTGGGACAATCGACAGAGAAACAGGAGAACCCTTCGCTGGTGATAGCCGTGTCTTAACACTTCCTGCTTTTGGTCCTACAGCTCGCTCAGCGACCCCTTCCTGACGCCGCACGCCGCCCTCACGCCCGACGCCGGCAGCCACTACTCGGACGCCGACAACGACGACGAGGATGTGATCGACGTGGAGGAGGAGGACGACGACGACCTCCTGTCGGACGCCAGGACGCTCACGCCCGCGTCGGCGCGCCACTCGTCGCGGCTCCAGGACAAGACGTCGGATGACGACGCCACGCTCACGGACTGCGACGACCGCTCCGACTGGGAGCGCACGCCCACGCGCACCCCGGCGCGCACGCCCGTGCACGGCGGCCAGCAGCAGTCCGTCAAGGCCTCGCTGCAGAACCTCTGCGCCCTAGAGGGGGTGTGCATCAGCAAGGTGAGTCCACGCGAGCCGGGGCGGACCTCATTGGTGTTCGGGACCCCTGAGTGGCTCGGCCCTTCCCACGGCACACGAACTTTGAGGGGAAAAGGCGTGGCCGCCGCCGAGGCCCGCGGGGCTCGGATCATTCTTCTTTCCGTAGCCCCCCCCCCCACCTTCCACTGCGCGACGTGCCGTGCTGCTCCCGTTGGCAATAAGCACTTACCTGGACCCGTAATTACGTCTCGGCAGTGCGTCGTTACGTCGAGTCAAGCCGGGCGCCACGCTCGCCCAGGGCTTGGCGGGGCGGGGCGGGGCGGGGCGGACGTGTCCGTCGAGAGGATGGATATCGCACCAGCAAGGAACTAGGAGGGCGGGGCGGGGCGCAGGTGGGGCGCCGGCGAGCCCGCAGTGTCATTTTCCGACTGCGTTATTACGCGTCAGAGGTATGTCACGTCACGAGTAGATTCTGAAGGAGAGGGAGGGTGGCAGGTGGGGGGTCAACTCCTTGGGCACTATATTTGGGCCCGGGACAGCCAGCGTGGCTCAGCGGCTCGGCCCGAGGCGCCGTGGCGGCGGCGGTTTGCAGGGGGCCTCCTGTGGGAGCGCGGTCCTGCTGCCTGGGCCGCCGCTCCTCGCTGCGGGCGCCCCTGGCGGTGGTCGGCGTGGTCGGCCAGGGCGTGCAGGGCGTGCATCCTCTCGGAGCGATCACGGACCGTAGCGGGGCTGGGCGGGGCGGGGCGGGGCAGTGATTCGCGGGCCGGCGGGGCCGGATAGCCCGATGTGGTGAGCCCGCCCGCGGGTCAGCGAGCACCACCGGCACCACCGTGGCGGTGTGCGGTGGCTTCTCCTTCTCCGGCAGCTCCCCCCGCATCATGTGGTACGTCATGACGACGCTCCGTTTTTTAGTGGCGTCGCTTCCGTCTGCTCGCGCTTTTCCCCCCAAATGTACCTACCGGTACCTACTCTGGCACATGTCAGCCCTACTACACGCACATGCGCGCACACATCCCCTGCTTCAAAGCCGAACTCGCGAGCGCCCACCATGACGGCTCCGGTAACAGCCCCCATCTCACCCCTATTTTCCAGTCGAGCGCACCGATGATGTGGGAGGGGTAAGAAGAAATAAGTCTGTGTTGGGGGTGGGGA